TTTTTTCTTTACCCATTTTTGTTTGAGGGACTTCAGATTATGGAATTTACTGTTAGCTCCTTTTTGTCATGCTTCTAAGGTAAAGATTATCAAATCAAGACATTAAGGTGAAAGAGTTCTAAAAAGAGGGAACTTTATCGGAATAAGGGTGAGGAGATGGAGAATGATGATATGGAGTTAGGCCTTTCTGAAAATGTCGACAATGTTGTTGGGGTTGGTGGGGATTTAGCTTCACAGGCATCTGATGGGACGGGGAATATCACGACACTTGATTTTGATATTGAAAATGGGAAGAATAGTGATGAGGGGTTTGCTCTTGATGGCAAAGGCGAAGCGAAGGGAGATTTCTTGGAGTTTGTAAATAAGGTGGAGGCAAAGTGGGCTGCCAGTCAGGAACAGAAACCAGATGTTGACTTAAACTTGGGATTGGGTTTTGAGCCTTCATCATCATCATCATCATCATTGACTCTTCCACCAGCATTTGCTATGGAAAGAGATACACGTGACTATGGGCAGAATAAACGGCCCAAGATTCAATCTTTTCCTCTGTAAGATTGCTTTTCTTTTTTCTATTAACTACATGTGTGTGTGTAGATGTGTCTGTGTATGGTTCTCGACCTTTCTGAATTATAGTAATTCTATAATATACATGTCTGTGTAAATTAGATTGTTTGAATGAGATGTCCTTGTAATTGGTTTATCGCAACTGGTGGCACTTAGTTTGTGAAATGAGGGACCCATAACAGTTGTGGGTGTCCTGTGCACAAGTTGTATCACAGTAGATGTGTGTTTGTGATTTGTAACCTGCTTGATGTTCAAAATAAGTTTAAAGTGTTTCCTGAAAAACTTAACAAGCATGGACCATTTGTTGCCTGGCTGCTGACTGCTGAATGTCTCCCCATGTTTGTCATTGTTTCTTGTTAGCCATCATCTTAACAAGTTCTACTGGTTCGTGAATACCTTTTGATATTTTGGTGTAACTGTTATACAAAATAGAGTTGGAGTTGAAGTTTATTGTCCAGCCGTCACTATTCTCTTGAGTGTGCTGTATTGACCCAGCCTTTTAATAATTTGTTCTTTTTCTTTTTCAGGTATTGGGGCAGCAATTTTGAGAATAGAATTATTGGTGTTGGGAATGCGCCTGATTTACGTATTTCTGAAAGTGATGGTGGAAATAATAGTGATCCATTAAAATCGGGTGATTGTTCAGAAATGCGAATGGATCTTACTGATGACTTACTGCATATGGTACGTAATGTATAATGGAAAAATTGAAACTACGTCAATTTAGCACTTCGGGTGGACTTTAATCTTGTTATTTGCTGCAGATTTTCTCATTCCTGGACAACATTGACCTTTGCTCCGTGGCAAGTGTTTGTCGGCAATGGAGGGATGCAAGTTCTCATGAAGATTTTTGGCGTTACTTGAATTTTGAGAATCGACCAATATCTGAACATCAATGTGAGTTGGTTTCTGATTATCGAACTCTAAATAATAGACAACATCTAGTCAGTAGTTACCCTAAGAATAGATCAATGTTACAAAACTATGATAAATTGTCTGTATGACAGCATAACCGTGACTGATGTTGATAAGGAATGATCTCTATTTTGCAATAGAAAACATGAACTAGTTTATTTGACATGGATTTACATGGTACGTGGTGTATGTCCAAATCTTTGAGCATTCGTTGTCCAAATGTTGTCCAAATGTTTGGCTTGTTTGATGAGTTACTAGTTTTACCCCGTGCATTTGCACGAAAAACGATATAATAGAAGTGGAAGTAATTAAAAACATAGAAAAAAAATAAAAATCATAACTTAATAAATGAGAAAAATAAATTTAAGAAGTGAATCTAAATATTATTAAACACTCTTTTATATACAACATTCGTGTTTTCCTATCGTAAACCCCATCACAACAAATCATTATTGTTAAACCTCTTCGACTCGTGACTTTGGGATTTGATTTTTCAAAATATTTGATGTATCTTTGTAATATCGGAAAGAAATATTTTTTTTTTATTATTGTATGACTGCAATAGAAAATATAGATATTTGTAACCATTCATAATTAGTTGTGAAATATGTATTTATATAATACCAAAAAATATGTAGTATCAAAAAAAATATATATTTTGTATTTCGTGACATAAAAAGACGTTACAGAAATGGGTACCATCCAAAATAGGACTTGTTAAAATAAATTGTGTAACTGAAAGTTAATTGTTATTATTAAATGGTGAATATATTTTTATTAAATGAACTCATATTATTATTAATTGCTGGCTGAATAAAATTTATTGAAGCTTGCCAGCAATTATATATGTATAGATATAGATTTGTCAGTACCACTATTCTCGGGTTATGGAGCATTCGTTGTTCAACTCTTTGTATGCCATAGGTAAAATGACTTTGGTTAGTTGTTTGGTTTTCAGTTCGGAACATGTGTCGGCGATATCCAAATGCTAACTCAGTTAATCTTTGTGGTACTCCTGCTATCAATCAACTTGGGATGAAAGCAATCCGTTCACTAAGGTAATTAAGATCTTTCTTTCATTTTAACAATAGTAAATAAAAAGAAGATTCCGAAAGACCCAAACTTGGTTGTTTATTAATGTTTCTGATCCTTGTTTATTCCCAGAAATCTTGAGGTCTTAACACTAGGCAATGGCCAACTAGGCGAGAAGTTTTTTAAAGTGCTCACAGATTGCCGCAAATTGAGGAGTTTGACAATTAATGATGCTACTTTGTGTAGTGGCACTCAGGATGTTTCCGTTGATCATGATAGCTTGCGCGATCTTCAGATTGTGAAGTGTCGCATTTTTCGTGTTACCATTAGGTGAATAATTTCTCCATTCCCATATTTAATTAATTTTCGAAATCTTCATGATATTACAAATTCCATCCTATTTTCTTCCCCAGGTGTCCCCAACTTGAGATCTTGTCTTTGAAGAGAAGTAGTATGCCACATGCTTTTCTCAGCTGCCCCCTTTTGCGGGAGCTCGATATAGCATCTTGTCACAAGCTCTTGGATACCTCAATTCGTTCAGCAGCAGCATCGTGCCCGCTCTTGGAATCTTTGGATATGTCAAATTGTTCGTCCATCATTGATGAGACAATACGAGAAATAGCTATGTCTACTGGAAATCTTCGTTTTCTCGATGCTTCATACTGCCCAAATATCGCTCTTGAAGTAAGAATGATGATTGTTGTAAATAATAATAATAATAATAATAATAATAATAATAATAATAATAATAATAATAATAATAATAATAATAACAAGTTTAATCATTTCACAAAAATGCAATGAAAGAACACCAGTTTTCCACTATTTTATTTCACTATTTTGTTAACAAGGCAATGTTGCACAACTCATCAGCAACTAGATTATTTTTAATCATATAGAATTAAACTTAATTGACATTTTGAAACGTACTTAAAACAGAAACAATCTTCTTACATAACCGTGTCAAATTAATCTTAATTGACATTTTGAAACGTTTAACCGAAACAATCTTCTTTTACATAACCGTGTCTGAGTGTCCGGGGCGGAGCCAGGATTAAAATTACCTCTGGACTAAGTGTATTGTAACGAAACTTGCATACCACATAAATAAATTATAAGTATGACAAACTAAATAAAGTGTTAGTCTAAAATAAATACTTAATTGAAAATAAATTGATTGTTAGGCTTCTTATTATAAAAAATGTATATGTATAATATAAAAATTCACGCTTTTATTTATAATATTTGTATAAATTATTTATAAACGTATGATTGTTTAACTATTAGACAACTTAATTAAAGAATTGTTGATAAATAATTTTTACTAAATAAACAGTGAAAATTTTCCATTGATTATTTAACGCGAAGTAAATGAAATAAGCAATATTTATTATAGAATCAATAAATATGTTCAAGCACAAATGAAATGTATTATTAGGATATATAATATATAACATAAAATTATTAAAGTGAAATCAAATAAAATATAAATTATGAAAAAAGTATATAAATTATTATAAACACATAATTAACTTACCAAATAATTTTCTCTAAATAAATACCTCTTAATAACTAACTTGCTAAGTGATTATATTATTGTAGACCACAATCAGCTAAATAAAAAAACTTGCAAGTCAATTTCCTTGTGACTCGGTCAAATAATAATGTAAATATATAATTAGTGGATGGTGTGCCTTAGCTAAATAATAATCTATGTATATCTAATGGGATGGGATGCATTACATGCTACCGGGTAGTAATACGTATGCCTTCGCTCTTGTTGAGTGTATAAACGAGTCAAGTCGAACTGAGTCAAATTCAAAAAATTCAAGTTTTGCTTGTTTATTATCAGTATTATTAAAGTGAATTACAAAAAACGAGTCAAGGCGAATCAAGTCCGATTTATTTATCAAGTCGATGTGGACTCGAGCCGCTCGTTCTGTTCATAACCAAAAAAATGAGGGGGGGAGGGGGGGGGTGGGTTCTAACGGCGTTAAGGAGTCCGTGGGTTTAAAGAAAAGGCCCATTGGTTATTATTATGAATGTCAGAGTTGGGGGATGGATGTGTATGAGTGGACGTGTTTGCCTTCCCGAGGTAAATTAGTTGCAAAGGTCATCACTGCCAATTTGATTTAATGGAAAAGTTTAGGGGTAGGGATGCAATTTATGGCTTTCTGTGGGACCCTACCTTCTATTATTTTGTACTCCAATCTGATGATGACAGCTTTCCCCCCCCATAGATGCCCTTGCATTTTTTTTTTTTTTTTAATTTCTCTTCTAAAAAAATCTCTATCCTACGTACCCATTAAATTATCAAATTATTATTATTATTCAGCATCTTATTGTGGTGTACTGTGTGTATATATTTATTCAACTTCCTTTTTTTTTTTTTTATATCAAACTGTTTTTGTCTTATTAATATCAAAATTCATTTGTTTATTATTTATTATATATTTAATCACAATTTAAGTCTTTATTGCACTTAACATGTGTTTTATCAGTAGCATTATTGCAATTAATTGGTGAAATTTATTTTATAATTGCGAAGCCAGCACATAAATTGGGACCATGCATCTATTACATGAATTGAGAATGTCAGTTTATATTTTTTATTGATGCATGCATTTTGTATGATATTAGTAGTGCTACACTTATAATTGATATGATAAAATAGGGAGATTCTACAGTCTCGTTATCGAACTATTCCGTCGGAGTTTGTAACTATTAGACCAACTATCCACGACGATTACTTGATGATCTAACAAATACAAATCTCGATGGAATGGTTCAGCAACGAAATGTAGCATTTTTCGATAAAATAAGACATGCAGACACATAAAGCTTCAATGGTTGTTTATTTAAAAATGAAATAAAAATGCTGTTTAGAAAATCCAAGGCACGTATCATGTATGCATCTCCATTCCTTATTAAGACACATATTATCATTTTTTTTTTGTACAAACATATTATCATTTAAAATAATAATAAGAGAATGTTGTTGGTTACAGAAGGTTTGTTTCCATTGGACTCCATTTTAAATTATTGTTTGGCTTAGTTTCTTATATATCCTTTTATTAGTGATCAATGATTGGGCAATGAAATAGTGTACTTAGATTTGATTCTCATGTGTTATCAAATTCTTCTAATCATTACTGATGAGCACACAATTAATTGAGTCTCAAATACAATCTTATAATAATTATAATAAGTGTTATATATATATATATATATATATATATATGTTCTTCTAATCATTAACAAGTGAATATTAACGAAATATCCAGACATATTATTAGAGTATACTTTTTCATATAAATTGAAATATCTACAAATAAGACACAATTAATATAATAATATAGGTAATGGGTGGGATGACGCAAATCCACATGTCTAGAAAACAAACAAATTTTACATAATATCGTAATATCGTGCACTCTGACACATCTAGCAAGGTGTGCTAAGACAATTTAAAATGAACGTGTATAAACATGTTTACACATATTCATTCTATTATGTAACATGTTCATTCTAAAAATGCTTTTGCACACCTTGCCTAGCGGTATTTGCCACAACTCATTAGCTAGTACATAGCATGGTCCTTGACAATAGACATAGAGTGTATAAAAATGGAAGATTTTGCACTTATTATTTGTTAATATTTAGTTTTTAAGAAATGTAATTAATGAAGTTTCAATGTGGGCATACAAAAGCCTATAGGGTATGGGAATGGGATATTAATTTATTCATAGAGAGTTTGCTTAATTCAGATTTTGAACTGCATGCGTGGCAAAACATAAGGAGCAAAAATTAAGAGATAAAACTTCATTGTTAAACAAGACGAAACGTTCTTAAGTTTTGCTAGAGCTTGGAGAGTTTGAGTACATTTAAGGCCCGTTTAGCTAACCACACGAGCACTTAATTTTTAAATAATTTAGACTTGTTGAGGCTCGGCCTAATTCATAAACGGACATAGTTCGAGTTTGTTTAGTAGCTTTATTAACTTCACGAGTCCGAACCAAATTCCGACCTCCAAAAGATTATATTTTAAATAGGTTGAAAGATTGTATTTTTACATTACACATTATGTTACGTCAACATAAAAGTAAAATTGGAGGAATGAAGAAAAAAAGCAATTGTAAAATTATAATTGTTGTCAATCATTTAAGCACATGCCCTTCTTTTTGGTGAAAACAGATTTGCATAAGCATAGTCCCATAACGAGAAAATTGTACAAAAATATGAAAAGATTCAAAATTTTACCAAACGAATTTAATCTTTTCATAGGGATTGGACAAAATACAAGAGATGAAAAGTATTTAAATTACTATATGCAGTTTCCTAGCTACATGTGCATTGATATGAACTTTACACCAAAATGTAAATAGTCTTGGCCATGAGGTAGAAAAAGTGTTAGAATTGTTAAGTGCAGAAAGGAAATATTGATTGCTGGCCTTTGCTTTCATCTTCCTGTGATCAACAGTGACTTGTTATGTTATGTGTGTGTGCAAGACTCAAAAAACTGGAAAAATCAAATTTAAAAGAGTTATTGCATCAATATAGGCACCTGCGCATTTAGTCTATCTATTCAAAGAAATAAGCCACTTGTAAACTTGATTCGAGACCCACTTAACCTGTTAAGGCCAAATTTGAGTTTATTTAGTTTAAAGGTTTGAGCTTTTTATGGCCTCAATTGTCAATGTTTGAATTCAATGGGTTACTATTGACAAATGAGCAAAACTTGAGTTTATTTATCGGCTCATCTTGCTAAGAAGCCTAGCTCGACAAGGCTCGAATCCGAGCGCGACTCGAGTAATTTACACATTAAATCACCTACTCTCATCTCATCTTATATGTGGACAAAGTGAAAAAAAAAAAGAAAAACAAAATTTCCTTTCTGAAAATTAAAGTGAAAATGAATGAATGCTGGCATAAAAAGTCTGAGGCATACATTTAGAGATAGTTTATTGGTATGCAGATGTGGAGAGAGAGAGAGAGATATTAGTGATGAGAGAGAAAAACTGTCAAGTGAGAGCTGTGTATCGTATTGTTGCAGGGCTGGGCTGTTATTAGTATCAGAACCTTGGCAGATGGTCTTTTAACCTTTTCCCCTCTTCAAATAATTCCCTTTCTCTCTCTCTCTACATTTACTTATACATGCAGCATTTACACACACTCTCTCTCACTTTCTCTCACACACATTCTGCGAGGCGAGGCTCTCTGCCAGAGGACGATGTGATTGAACATTACAAAGCCCCAGAGCCTCTGCTCTTTCTTTTTTATTTTTATTTTTTTTCTCTCAGCACACCTCTTAACAATTCTTTACAAGATTTCTTTTTTATTGCAATTTATTCCTCTCCTTCTTCTTCTTCTTCTTCTTCTTCATTATCTCCTCTACATCAATGTTAATGTCAGTGTCCCTTTTTGAATAATCCTCTGATTCACTTGTGTATAGCGTGTTCCAAATTATTTGAAGCAAGTATAGCTTTTTATCAAGTGGGTCTGCTTGTTTATAATTTATGAGAAGTGGAATATGGCTAATTGTTGTGAAAAATGTGTTCTTGCTGGGTTTCTCGTCGTGTTTTTGAGATTTATCGGTGTGGACTGCGGCGATGATGGTGAGTAGTTGGTGGGTTTAGCTCTCTTTTGGGGAGGAAAAAGAGAAAATTTTGTTCTTGGCTCATTTTAGAGTGTATATTTTGGAGCATAGTATTTTACTTTTGAAAAGAAGTTTCAGTTTGTTTTGTCTTTATTTTTTCATAATTTTCCATTGTCCCAGCTAAAATCCCTGTCTTATTAGCAAGCAAGCCCTTAAATTTGTTCATTAATCCTTTTATTTTTTTATTTTTAATTTTGCTGAAAAAGGGTCTATTTTGCTGGAGATGAAGAAGTCATTCAGAGATGTGGATAATGTGCTGTATGACTGGACTGACTCCCCATCTTCAGATTATTGTGCTTGGAGAGGGATTACGTGTGATAACGTCACCTTCAATGTTGCTGCTCTGTATGGTTCCCATTCTCACTCATTTTCATCTTTTTCATTGCTTTTGCATGAAATTGGCCTCTGTCGGTGGATTTATCAAATTCCACTGTAGTGTGATTCTAGCTTCTAGCTTCATAAAGAAATGGAAAGGGGTTTCTTATTTAATTTTTGTAGTATGTTAGTTTGATAAGACTTCCATAATAAATCCGGAATAATTTATGTGAAAGTTTAGAATGTTCTGTTATTAAGTGTAGTTAATCATGGACCCATATTTCAGTAATCTTTCAGGATTGAACCTTGATGGAGAAATTTCACCTGCAATTGGACAGCTGAAAGGCCTGGTCTCCATGTAAACTGTTTCCTCTCTCAAACAGTATAATTATCATTCTTTTTTTTTTTCTGAAAATATTAGTAATTGGAGGTCTTATATAAATTGTGATGGTTTTGCTCATTAAAACAGTGATTTGAGGGGTAATAAGCTGTCAGGGCAAATCCCGGATGAGATTGGAGACTGCTCCGCATTGAATAGTTTGTAAGTCCACTACAGCCACATAATTTTGGAAAAATTTGAGGAAGTCCATAATTTTATTTGTAATGTTTGTGTGATAAATTTTCGTTGGATTAGTTTGAGTATTGATTGCATATCTATCAGGGATTTGTCGTTCAACGAGCTCTATGGTGATATCCCTTTCTCGATTTCAAAGCTAAAGCAGCTTGAAAACTTGTAAGCCAAATCGGAAGTATGGTATTTCGAGTGTCCTGATTTATATTAGAAGTAGTTTAATACCTTCACATTTATTTTGTGTCGGCAGGATTTTGAAAAATAATCAATTGATTGGTCCTATTCCCTCAACACTCTCTCAGATTCCTAACCTAAAAATATTGTGAGTGTTATCAGTATCTCTCACTTTATTTAATTACAATGTATGTTACTGTGAATGTTTTTTGGGTGAAGCCTATTCAAATTGTTGATACTGTAGGGACATGGCTCAGAACAAGCTAAGTGGAGAAATACCAAGACTATTATATTGGAATGAGGTTTTGCAATACCTGTGAGTGCGAGTGGTCTGAAAACTTAGCTTCATTTTTAAGTCGATTCTAGAATCTTAGGAACTTTGGTGTTGCTTTTCATGCTTAGGGGGTTGCGAGGAAACAACCTACAGGGCTCACTCTCTCCCGATATGTGTCAGCTAACCGGCCTGTGGTATTTGTATGTTTCTTTCTTTTTCCTTTTATTTTGAGTGCCTTTTATAGCAGCCTTAATCACTTAAAGCTGGTAATATTTATGCTGTAAGGCCTTTACTAACTATTATGTGTCATTTGTGTGCCAGTGATGTTCGAAACAATAGCTTGAGTGGTTCGATTCCGGAAAGTATAGGAAACTGCACCGCCTTTCAGGTTTTGTATGTATCTGACCGAAATCTTGTACTGAATTAAACTATATTTGATATGGTTTAAGTAAGGATGGTTTTAATGGATAACAGGGACCTGTCGTACAACAATTTTACTGGGGAGATCCCATTCAATATTGGGTTTCTCCAAGTTGCGACGCTGTACGTGTTCATTTAAATTTCATACAACTCTGAAAATTCTCTTTTTATGTTCAACAACGAACTATATTGTATTCTTTTGCATATAGGTCCTTGCAGAATAACCGTTTTTCTGGGCAAATCCCAACAGTCATTGGCCTGATGCAGGCACTTGCTGTGTTGTAAGTTCTTTATTTTGATTTTTTTCTGTTGCTTTCTGGCTTGGGTTGCTAACACTTGGGTCTCAAAATTTGTTGCACGTTGAAAACCTTTAATCTGCAGAGATCTAAGCTTCAACATGTTGAGTGGCACAATCCCACCAATTCTTGGAAATTTGTCTTACACAGAGAAACTGTAAGTATTGGACGTTTACTTCTTTCAAGACAAGTAGTTAAGTCTGTAGTGTGTGACTGTGTGGTGAAATCAAACTTCTCATTTGTTTGAATTTAGCTGCGTAAGATTATTAGTTGTACCCTTGTATTTCTTTAACAATATGAATCGTATTCGTATAAGCTCCATGTGCATGTTGTGTATTTATATGTTGAATTTTAGAATAAACATTCAGCTATCATCTTTTCTTGCAGATATCTCCATGGGAACAAGTTAACTGGGCCAATACCTGCTGAACTTGGAAATATGACAAAATTGCACTACCTGTATGCAGTTTCCTTGGAGTCTCATCCTTTCCTTTTTTTTCCCTTTGTTTTTACCCCATTTGCTTTGCATTTTTTTTTTTTATGTACATTTATATGATCCTTTCTCTAGGGAACTGAATGATAATCTTCTCACTGGACGTATTCCTCCCGAACTTGGAAAGCTCACTGATTTGTTCGACCTGTATGTTTTTACATCACAAGTATAATTTTTTTTTTTTTCAAATATTTCTTACTAATCTTGATATGCAAAGTCAAGTTGCCTTTCTTGTACTTGCAGAAATGTAGCAAACAATCGCTTGGAGGGGCCTATACCAGATAATCTTAGCTCTTGTACAAATCTGAATAGCCTGTGAGAAGCTTTCTTGTTTTCTTTTAAACACGCATCTTTGTTTTTAGTAATGCAAATGCAGATGGTTATCATTTTAATGTTTTTGCAACAGCAATGCACATGGAAACAAATTGAATGGAAGTGTACCCCTATCATTTCAGAAGTTGGAAAGCATGACCTATTTGTGAGTTTCCACAGTTTTCTTAGTTTTATTTACAAATTTTAAATATTGTATAGTTTAAGATTTTTCACAGACTTCACTGAACTCGTGTGTTTAATAATTTTCTTTTGTAGGAACCTATCCTCCAACAACCTCAGGGGCCCCATTCCTATAGAGCTATCTAGGATCGGCAACCTGGACACTTTGTAAGTGGTCAATTATCATTTGATGCTGTATCTATTATATATCATGCTATTATAAATGATCAAAATACTCTAATTTTTTGATTCATATTAAATGTTTGGGAAAACCAGAGACCTCTCAAACAATAAGCTCAGTGGTTCTATGCCGTCTTCTCTTGGCGACTTGGAACATCTCCTAAAACTGTGAGTTTCTGGTATTTCAGATTTTTTTCAGTCCCGTTTCTTGTATACCTAACAATTGTTTGCCATTTTGACAGTAATTTGAGCCATAATGGATTGACCGGGTTTATACCTGCGGAGTTTAGCAACTTGAGAAGTGTAATGGAAGTGTAAGAAAATATACTCGGTGGTCTAAAAGTTGGATCATTATTCTTTAGCCCTTTGTTTTTGGTCACGTCGCTATTCTTTTTCTAATTATATTCGTTTGTTGCAGAGATCTTTCAAATAACTACCTATCAGGTCCAATCCCACCGGAACTTGCCCAGCTTCAGAATGTTTTCATGTTGTAAGAGCTAAAATATGACACTCTACTTAGCATTCTAATTGATGAAATAATCTCATTTGCTGACAAGTTATATCGACTATTTTTGCATGAACAATGACAGGAATTTGGAAAGAAACAACATATCGGGTGATGTAATGTCTCTTGCTGGTTGTCTCAGTCTCACAGTACTGTAAGTACACTCGCCAACAATTTTCAAACCAATACTTGCAACTTTTTACGAATGTGTTCCCGTATGATAATAATAGGAATAGATTTGAAACCTAATACTTTTATGTTGGTTCAGGAATGTATCATATAACAATCTTGTTGGTTATATTCCTTCCGGAAATAACTTCTCTAGGTTTCCCCCCGACAGGTACGTGTTTCGATTATTTATTTCTTAGTCCTTATTTCTAACATGTTTCATTTTCATTAAAGTTTCCCCTTTTTTTTGTCTTTCCTTTTTTTTTTTCAGTTTCTTGGGCAACCCAGGTATTTGTGGCTATTGGCTGAGTTCTTCATGTCATCAAGCCCACACAGCTGAGCGAGGTTCGTTCAACATTTGATGGCATCGGTATATCATGATCTGTAGTGCTTTGAAAAATAATGATGTATGCTAATATTTAGTGTTTTCTTCCTCGGTTATGTGCATTTTACAGTTTCAATTCCTAAAGCAGCTATACTTGGAATAACTCTGGGCTCCTTGGTTGTTCTTCTTTTAATATTGATCGCTGCTTGTCGGCCACACAACCCAAAATCATTTATCGATAGCCCACTCGACAAACCAGGTATACATCTAATGCTAAGATTCATTTTATTTTGTTTTAGAATATTAAGGATTTAACCCAAAATCATCTCGCGACGCATTTTAAACATACCAGTTAATTACTCGTCGCCAAAGCTCGTTATCCTTCACATGAACATGGCACTCCATGTGTACGAGGACATCATGAGGATGACTGAGAATTTGAGTGAGAAGTACATAATCGGTTATGGGGCATCGAGCACCGTCTACAAATGCGTGCTCAAAAACTGCAGGCCAGTGGCTGTCAAGAAACTCTACTCACACACACATTGCCTCAAGGAATTTGAAACCGAGCTGGAAACAGTCGGGAGTATCAAGCACCGGAACTTAGTCGGCCTCCAAGGATATTCCCTTTCACCTTCCGGAAACCTCCTTTTTTACGATTACATGGAAAATGGAAGCTTGTGGGATCTCCTTCATGGTAGTAAAGCTTCGTTGTGCATTTTATTCTAACACAAGGTTCAGTCCAAACTCCAAACTAACATAAACATGTTATTTGCTTGCATAAATTGCAGGGACAACTAAAAAGAAAAAACTTGACTGGACCTTGCGTCTTCGCATAGCACTGGGTGCAGCCCAGGGGCTTGCCTACCTGCATCATGACTGCAGCCCACGGATCATCCATCGAGACGTGAAGTCATCCAACATTTTGCTCGACAGGGATTTCGAGGCCCACCTCACGGATTTTGGCATTGCAAAGAGGCTGTGCCCATCCAAAACCCACACCTCGACTTACCTCATGGGAACAATTGGTTACATCGACCCAGAATATGCTCGAACTTCTCGTCTGACCGAAAAATCCGATGTCTACAGTTATGGGATCGTTCTTTTGGAGTTGCTCACCGGGTGGAAACCCGTGGACAACGAGTCCAATCTCCATCATCTGGTTGGTTTTCGTGATATTCTCGATTATTATCGATTTCTTTTGTTTTACAGAGATAATTAATTTGATCAAATTCTTTTGTTTTTAACTGAAGATACTGAACAAGGCCGCGAGCAACTCGGTTATGGACACGGTCGATCCTGGGATCTTGGAAACGTGCAAGGATCTTGGGGAGGTGAAGAAGGTGTTCCAGCTGGCGCTTTTGTGCACCAAACGACAGCCAACCGAGCGGCCGAGCATGCATGAGGTTGTACGAGTTCTTGGATCAATGGTGCCACCTGTCACAGAACCCGATAATGGTAAGCCGTTTGGCACACCTGCTCCACTACTCCAGTCGGGTAAAGTCCAGTGTTATGTAGACGAGTATGCGAATCTGAAAGCGCCACACTTGGTCAACTGCTCGTCTGTAAGCACCTCGGATGCGCAGCTTTTCCTTAAGTTTGGGGAGGTGATTTCCCAGAACAGTGTCTAAGGTTGTGTAGTAGAAGGTGGAAAATAATCCTATAATTTAGAGGAAAAAAAAAAAAGTTGTAATATAGTAGTTGTTTGGAGTGGTTATTGTAGCTCTTAATTGATATTGGTAGAACTTAAAAGGGTATTTGTAACGTGGACACCAATTTATGGTGAGACTGTGTAATGTTTTGGTCCTTTTGGAGTGAAAACTGTGATAGGGGTGCTATGGTACTTTGTGCTTTGTGGGCCCATTTTGCCTTGAAGTTTTTTGGCTCATATTCTTGAAGGCATAGAATTTGGAAGAAAATTGTACCTTGTAAATGGTCGGATACTTTTGGATGTGGCCTCTCTATTGTGGCTTCACTTAAAAACTTTTTTGTTTATTCCAATTAATTTGAGGTTCTTACCATTTAACATAAATGAAACCAAATAAATAATAACAGATTTGGAGTATGCAACAAGTTCATAGTAAAACAGTGAAAAGTATGGCACAAAATAGAAAACAGCAAAGAAAAAGCTAAAAACCATAATATATCTGCATGTAACCAACATCCATTAGATTAACCTGCAAACTCTAGTTGACCATCTGAAATTTGGCTACAACTATTTTTTCCAACCGAGACAATGCTGCAAATCCGCCAGGGAAAACGATCTCCAGGGAGAAATACCCGAATAGCCACCACCGCGTACTTTGCCAATATCCGAGTCTTTTTCGCTCATGGCCACGCCCAATGCCAATGTTGTCCGGCTTGAACTAGCTGTTTTTTTGGATATTCCGCCACAGTTACTTCCAAGACAAGACGGTTTACGGTTCTTGTTGTCCCAATTGAGGCTGCAAGAGAGTAGGTTTCGACGCTTTCGGGCATATGCATTGTCGGGCTTCGCGATGTCCTTTATGGAGGATGAGAACGATGATGCGTGCACCAGGCTGGCAAAGGACTTTGATTTTCCATTGTAGAAACTTGAGATTCCCCGTCTGCATTTTTGGGCGTTAAGTCAGATTTTAGTCGATGATTCGTGACTTGCGGCTAGCTACTTGCGAAAAATGTTTCAACTTAGCATATTACGGGCTAATTCTCACTCAACTTATGAATATGCATGACATAAATCACAGATTATAACGATTCACCCATTACTTTATTTCGATTCGATTATTTGAACTAAAAAAATAAACGAAAGGGAAAAAACAATCATCCTAGAATCAGCCAGATGTGTATGAGTTCAATTTCCCAGCAGCTGTTGCAACTTCTTAAGAATTAATCAAATGCAGAACAGAACACACTCCCCTACTTTGAATCTATTATGTTATATAGAAGAAGAATTCAATCTAAAAAATGTGATAAATCTTCAAATGCTATACATTAGAAAGCAAAATGAAATGTCAAACAAAGTACACTCCACGTAATAATACAACAAAACAAAACAAAATAAAACAAAACAAACAATCCCTTGCTGCTTAACAGGAAACATGAACCAAAAAGTTCCAATCTTT